GGGGAGGGGGGGGAGTAATCTCATCTCATCACAGGATGTTCTGTTTACTGCAACAGTTCCATGATTCTACACCAGCCCAAGGACGATGCAGCTCAGAAGGGCGTTTATCACAAACCATTTCATTACAGGAGGGGATTAGACAGGGCTGTGCTCTGGCTCCGACGTTATTTAATATATATGTTAGTGATATGACTCCCTTTCTTAGGGAAGTCGAAGCCTGTGCACCTTTCTCCAGCTAACCGCTCGGGACTTGTACTGCTTGATGCTTATGATGCAGCCTTAATGCTCTAAGACTCAGCTTGGAGTGCATTGTTCACGGAAATCCCTTGTAGTGTATTAAGATGGGCGGCCATGTTAGTCTGTCTGCTGCAGGAGAAAAGAGCAAGAGTCCAGGAGCACCCGAAAGACTAGCACAATTTGTGGCAGGGGAGGAGCTCTCGTGAGTCACTGCTCACTTTTTCAGATAGATCAAGATGGGCGGCCGTGTTAGTCTGTCTGCAGCAGGACAAAAGAGCAGGAGTCCAGGAGCACCCGAAAGACTAACGAAATCTGTGGCAGGGGAGGAGCTTTTGTGAGTCACTGCTCACTTCTTCAGATAGATCAAAATGAGTAGCCCCAGGGGTCATTTCGTAGAAAAAGAGCAAGGGGAACTCATTAGCATAACTCATTAGCATATGCCACACCCCCTGACATCAGGGGCCCAGCGGTGGACCTGCAAGGCCAGCGGGAGTGCGAGGAAGCCCCGCCAAGGCCCTCCTTGGCCCCAAGCAGGCAGGGGTGGGGAGAGGCGGGGAGGAAGCAACTTACCCTCCCTCTTCTCCTGCCTCCTCCTGGCTGAATGAGGGCTGGAAGTGGGGCGGCCGGAAGCAGGGGGCGGGGCTTTGTCATGTGCCCCACCCCCCTGCACCTCACCCGGGGGAACTGTGTTCCCCCGCGTTCCCCCCCGAAATGACCTCTGAGTAGCCCTGTTAGTCTGTCTGCAGCAGCAGAAAAGAGCAAAAGTCCAGGAGCACCTGAAAGACTAACACATTGTGTGGCAGGGTATATGAGCTTTCCTGAATCACGGCTTACTTCTTCAGATAGATCAAGATGGGCAGCCCTGTTAGTCTGTCTGCAGCAGGAGAAAAGAGCAAGAGTCCAGGAGCACCCGAAAGACTAACGAAATCTGCGGCAGGGGAGGAGCTTTCGTGAGTCTCCGCTCACTTTTTCAGATAGGATGGGCAGCCGTGTTAGTCTGTCTGTAGCACAGAGGGCCACCTTTAAGCGTTGGATGAAAATGTTGTTCAATAATGGTGGATTTTCATCTCAAGAGAAGATCCTTACTCAAGCCCTTGGAGGGAGACAGTTGAATCAAGATGTGCACTAATTAGGCTTTCAGCCTAGGGAACTAATGGCCTTAAAGCTAACTTCTGCCAATACCTTAATTTTCAAGCGGCTTTTCGAATTAGATCTATTGAGCTCATGTATGTGAACTCGAAGGGTTTGTTACCCATCTACTTGGGTCTTTCGTATCTGCAGGACCCTCCTGCCTCTCTATATATTTTAACTGTGCCATACATGCTTTCAAATTATGGTGCTGGAGAAGACTCTTGAGAGTCCCTCGGACTGCCAGGAGATCGAATCAGTCAGTCCTAAAAGAAATCAACCCTGTTCCCTGGAAGGCCAGAGACTGAAGCTGAAACTCAAATACTTTGACCACCCAATGAGAAGGGAGCACTCACTGGAGAAGAAGACCCTGATGCTGGGAAAGACGGAAGGTCAAAGAAGAAGGGGACGGCAAAGGATGAGATGGTTAGACAGTGTTATCGAGGCAACGAACATGAAATTAAGCAAACTCTGGAGCACGACGGAAGACAGGAGGGCCTGGAGTGATGTGGTTCCGGCCGGGACAGGCCCCCGGGAAGCCCGGGGGGAGGAACGCCGGCCCACCCCAACTGCCCGATTTCCCTCCTACTTGACGGGGCCAGCCGACCACCCTGGACAGCTGGTACGACCCCCGGCCAGCGCTGGGGAAGGATCGAGAGAGCCAGCGACGACGAGGGAGCACCAGCCGCCCGGAACCAGAGCCGGGGCCAACGGGCGCCGCGGCGCCGAGGGCAAGCGCATGGGCAGCGGCCTGGGAACGTCCGGACGGGCCAGGACCCGCCCCCGTGCGCTGCAGACGCCCAAGGAAGACGCCAGGAGAGAGACCGCCGCGCCAGGATCCTCCGGACCGCAAGGGGAGGGCAGGCTACAGGGGGGCGGGGGGCGTCCATGCCTTTAGGCGGGGGCGGGGCCCAGGTGCTGGGAACGCCGGGAGGGCTGGAGGAAATAAAGACGGCGGCAGAGCAAGCCGATGAGGAGGCACTGGACTGGCTGAGAGCGTGGGCGCACGCTTGAGTGAGAGAGAAAGGGAAAGCGAACAGCAAGGCCAGATCCAGGGCAGGCTAAGTGGGTGACGTAACCCTTTGCTAGGCCTGTGTCTGAGGCAAGCTCTGTCTGTCGAAGACGTTTCCTCCAGGAGCCGAACTGCGTCCCCAGCCCCTACGCCAGGACAGCATGGCCCAGATACTGCAGGGGGCAGCACGGCTACGGGCAACACCCCCGGACGGGAGCGCGGGGATCGCCACAGTCGCGAAGAGTCGGACTCGACTTTGCGACTAAACAACAACATGCTACAGGACAGCTTTTATGCTACCTTGCCTAAATACAATTCCATCTCAGGTATTATATGGTCGATACAGTAAGAGGCCTTATTCTGAGAGGACGTGCTTGTGAGCATCGGGGCCAGATAGCCACATCGGAACACTGCTGTTCAGAGTGTGGCCTAACCACACCTATAAGGAGGAAACCAATTTCGCCTTGTTGACAAGGAGTTATTGAGGCGCCCATAAGGCGACAAATTGAAATTTCTGCCAGTGGGGTCAGAGCCTAATGCAATCCTATCCATTGTGAAATTTGTTTCCAGAGTAATGATAGCTGGAAAATGAATTAGATAAATTTCTGGAGCAGAGGTTCATTAGTGGCTGTTAGCTACAAGGTATGGATAGGAACTCTCCGTCTGGGGCAGGTGATGCTCTGTCTTCTTGGTGCTTGGGGGGGGGCAGCAGTGGGAGGGCTTCTCGTGTCCTGGCCCCACTGCTGGACTTCCTGATGGCACCTGGTATTTTTGGCCACTGTGTGACCCAGAGTGTTGGACTGGATGGGCCATTGGCCTGAGCCAACATTGGCTTATCTTTCTTTATTTATTTATTTATTTATTTATTTATTTATTTATTTTTCCGATTTTTATCCCGCCCTCCCTTCTTATAAGAGGGAATTGGATAAGCATATGGAGCAAGAGATCCATCAGTGGCTGCTTGGCTTCTAGTGTCCTGGCCCCACTGGTGGACCTCCAGAGGGCACCTGGTATTTTTGGCCACTGTGTGACCCAGAGTGTTGGACTGGATGGGCCATTGGCCTGATCCAGCACTCGCTTCTCTTATGTTCTTATATGGAACAGAGGTCCATCAGTGGCTATTAGCCACAAGGTCTAGATAGGGGCTCTGGGGCAAGGGGTGCTCTGTCTTCTTGGTGCCTGGGGGTGTCAACAGTGGGAGGGCTTCTAATGTCCTGGCCCCACTGCTGGGCCTCCAGAGGGCACCTGGTATTTTTGGCCACTGTGTGACACAGAGTGTTGGACTAGATGGGCCATTGGCCTGATCCAACATTGGCTTCTCTTACGTTCTTATGATTAAGTGGTTTTATCTCCGGGGATTTTATTGTGATTCAGGACACGGTCTTTAGGCCGATAAGAGCTTTATCATTAAAGTACTAACACCTCACATTTTTAGGGGGCTCCACTGTTGGGAAAAAAATATATGAGATGAACTATTTTGTGTTGAAAACCCTTTGTGCTAAAGTGGATTTTTGGAGGGAAGGGAAACCAGAAGAAAATTAAATGAAAAAGAATGCTTCATACACCTCCTTCCTAAACCTTGTGCCCCCCAGAACTCAAGGGCTAGAAGCCTGGTGCAGTTTCTTCTGTAGCTGCACTACAGGAGACAGGATGGCTCCCTTTAAGTCTTTGAAGGGCCGTGTCCCTTGGAGGAGGGCAGGGAGCTGTTCCTGTTGGCCGCAGAGGAGGCGACTCGCAAGAATGGGTTCAAATGAAGGGCGGGAAGGTACCCGGCTGGATATTAGGGAAAACGTTTTGACAGTAGGAGTTGTGCCACAGTGGAATCAGCTGCCTCGGGAGGTGGCGAGCTCCCCTTCCCTGGAAGCCTTGAAACAGCGGCTGGACAAACCCTTGCTAGGGATGCTCTAGGCTGATCCTGCATTGAGCAGGGGGCTGGACTAGATGGCCTCTATGGCCCCCTCCAGCTCTGTGCTTCTAGGATTCTATGATCCACTAACCAAATGTTATTACTCAGAGGATAATGGGTAACGTTTAGGAAGAAGACAACCTGTTGGAGAAAGGGAGCTGATCGGCAACAGCGGAAATGGATGGTTTTCGCTTCCGCTGCGCTGGCGGGAGTTATATTCCTTTGTTCATTCACTTCATTTCACACCCCCTTTTTCCTCCTCTGCAAAGCAGGTTAGGCCAAGAGTGATAAACTGGCCCGAGGTCACCCAGTAAGAGTCCGTGGCAGAGTGAGGGTTCGAACCCGGCCCCCCCTAGCCGCACACTATAACCACTGCACCGTCCTGGCTGTTTACAGACTATGCACGTGTGGAGTCCAGTCTTCCCTCTAAGATGGGTTAGTGTGAGCTAGCTCACAGTTTTTTCACCTCCAGCTCACACATTTGTGCCTTAGCTCAGGAAGGAGGGCTCCAGAGCACACTAATTTATGCAGCAGCCAAACGGCTCGCTCACAACTTTAATGCCAGTGCCTCACAAAGTAGAAGTTTTGCTCACAGGACTCCACAACATAGAGGGAGCATTCCCTGCCCCTTAATTCCCCCCCCCATCTGAATCATTCGCAAAGCAGAGCCCCCTCGCTCGAGTCTGTGGTTGGGCTAGAAGAGGGCATTCTCCTTACCCATTTCCTGCCTCGCGCTGCACACTCCGGCCCCATATTGACTTAACACGCTGCACACGGTTTTTATAGCGTTACAGTCGGTTTCTGCAAATCCGAGGTAGTTATAGGAACCCATGTTGATCACATTCTTGATGGTCCTTCCGGTGAATCTGCAGAGGAGGAAGAACGAAGGGGCACGTGACCAGTGGTAGCAGTTCCCCAATTAATTCGATTGTAGTTCGATTTCGCTGGGGCACTTCTAGACAAACAGATAACCTGGGATATGAACCCTTTTGGGGGCCTCCAGTTCTATGCTAACAAACGTATTCATTTAAAGCAGCCTTTTTGAGCCTGCAGGAGCTTTTGGAATTCGGACACGGCGTGGTGGGCACGGCCACAAAAAAGGCTGCCGCAGGAGGCGGAGCCAGCCACAAAATGGTTGCCCACACCTTCCTTTCGGTCACATTGTGAAGATCCCTGTATCACCCCCACCGAAGCAACAATCGAATCTCCAGTAGTTACTAAGACTGATTTCGCACGAGAGCTGCCTCGATGTTGCGCCGCCGTCTGCCCCGATGTTATTGGTCCATTTCACACCCGAAGCCGCGGGGCTGCATTTTGACTCGCGGCTTCGCCCGATTTCCCCCCGCAGTTTCGTGATCCTGTTTTTTGAGGATCACGAAACTGCGGAGGAAATCAGGCGAAGCCGCGGGGCAAATGCAGCCCCGCGGCTTCAGGCAGCCCCGCGGCTTCGGGTGTGAAATTGACCGATAGTATCGGGGCAGACGGCGGCGCAACATCGAGGCAGCTCTAGTGCGAAATCAGCCCATGTTACTGAGAAGCCTCGTTGGCACCGTTCGCTTTCTAAAAACACCTGGTGGGCACCAAGAAAGTGGTCACCCCGGCGCCTCGGGGCACCACGTTGAGGACTCCTGAGTCAAAGCGAGACGGTCCAAAGCAACGAGTGCTTCTTCAGAATGGAACCCCAAGCCCTATGAATCCATCCCTTAGAAAACCCACGGCAGATGCTATTTCTGACATTTCCCTTAGTGTTAATATTTTACCTTCACGAGTGGCCAAAACCCCCCAAAACCTTTAAATAAAAGCCGCTCTTCTCAGGGGTGTGAACATGCCTCCTCCCTTCCTAGGTTATGCAAACGGAAAATCAAGATGAGTGGGGGTGGGGTGGGGTGGGGGGAGAGAAGAAAAGATATATTCCCCGCGCTCAGTTGGAAAGCCTGTCAGCTCTAGGCTTTGGACACAATCCCAGAAACGGTCTTTATAAAAACACGTCGCAACCCAACTGCCTGGCCGAACTTCAGCCATGAAAAACACCACTGTAAGTTATGAAAATCTTGCAGGTGAGCCCAATGCAGTGACTTCTTTGCTCCACCTCCCAAGTGTGGAAGTAGCCGAGCCGGGTTGGGCCAAGAGCATGCTGCCGGGACCTTTTTGCAGTGACGTTCAGGGGTCACTTCCTGCGGGAGCGCACAGGAGTGGAGCTCCGGCAGTAAGGAGCCCAGGGGGCGGGAACATGCAACAAGCCCCGCCCCCTGCTCCCAGCAGCCCTCAGTCAGAGCAAGAAGCAGCCAGGTAAGTTGCAGAGACCCCTCCCCCTGCCCCCCCGGCCCAAAACAGTCCAGTGGCACCTTTAAGACCAAGTTTTATTCAGGTACAAGCTCTCCCTCCTCTGCGAGGACAGATCTGCACGTTCCCTCCCCCCAATAGCTAGCAATCCAAAAGAGTCCAGTGGAGCCTGAGCGGTGGGTGTTGCCTTCTGACACACTTCCGGTGATGTCAGGGGGTGTGGCATATGCAAATAGGTTATGCTAATGAGTTAGGCTAATGAGCCCCTGCACCTCTTTTTCTATGAAATGACCCCTGAGTGACGTCATCACCCAGGGCTCCTTCTGGCCTCCTTTCCGGGAAGTGCCAGCAGCCCTGGGCTCTAACGTTGGCACTGAACGGCCCAGCTGTAGCCTAGCTGCTCAGGGCACGCAGGAGTGCCAGAGGCTGCCAGTGGCCCCTGCGATGCCACCCCCTCTCCAAAAACCATTCTTGCCATCACCACTCAGGCCCATGGCCACAGTGGGGCATTTGGGGGCGGAGCCCCATCATGGACGACCTAGCACTATCACAGTAGAAAAGAGCAAGAGTCCAGGAGCACCTTAAAGGCTAACAAAATTTCTGGTGGTGGTGTGGGGGGGGAGCTTTCGTGAGTCACTGCTCACTTCTTCAGGTGGGTTGTAAAGCTCCTCCCCTGCCACAGATTGTGTTACTCTTTCAGGTGCTCCTGGACTCTTGCTCTTTTCTCCTGCTACAGACAGACGAACACGGCCGCCCATCTAGATCTGTCTGAAGAAGTGGGCAGAGACTCAGGAAAGCTCCTCCCCTGCCACACGTTGTGTTATAGTCTTTCAGGTGCTCGTGGACTCCTGGTCTTTTCTCCTGCTACAGACAGACGAACACGGCCGCCCATCTTGATCTATCTGAAGAAGTGAGCAGGGACTCAGGAAAGCTCCTCCCCTGCCACACGTTGTGTTATAGTCTTTCAGGTGCTCGTGGACTCCTGGTCTTTTCTCCTGCTACAGACACGCTAACACGGCCATCCATCCTGATCTATTTGAAAAAGTGAGCAGTTCCCTCTAAGCTGAGTTAGTGTGAGTTAGCTCACAGTTTTTTAGCCTCCAGTTCACACATCTTTGTCTTGGCTCAGGAAGGATGGCTCCGGAACAGACTAATTTATGCAGTAGCCAAATCACTCACTCACAACTTTAATGCCAGTAGCTCACAGAGTAGAATTTTTGCTCACAAGACTCCACAGCTTAGAGGGAGCACTGGTGACTCACGCAAGCTCCTCCCCTCCCACACATTGTGTTCGTCTTTCAGGTGCTCCTGGACTCTTGCTCTTTTCTCCTGCTACAGTCACACTAACACGGCCACCCATCTTGATCTGTCTGAAGAAGTGAGCAGTGACTCACAAAAGCTCCTCCCCTGCCACAAATCTGGTTAGTCTTTAAGGAGCTACTGGACTCTTGCTCTTCTCTACCACTACGGACAGGCTAATACGGCGACCCATCTTGATCTAGCACTATTACAGAGGGAGTGGTTGCGAAAAGATATTAACTAGCCAGACTCACCTAAATGACCAGTTGTAATCGTCGGAAACACGTTCCATCATTTCAAACTGTGGTCCAGGAACGCTGCAGATAGGGCGGTCCCAGTTGTCTCTTATTCTCACATAGAGGTTTCGCTTATAAAAGTTCTCAAAATCTTGATAAAGTGGGACAAAGTCCTAGGTTTTTTAAAGAAAGAATACAATTCTGTTTCTCAGACATCCATCTTGCATAGATGGTTGTTTGTTTTTTCAAAGTGTTGCTGTGAGACAAACACCCTGATTTCCCCCCAAAGGTTAATGTGAACGTTAGCAGTCCTGCTCCGGTTTGCATGTGTTCGTAATCGTGCCTCCCTGCCGACAGCGTCCTTATCTCTTTCTAGGCCGGATTCCAGAATGCGGCCAATCGTGAGAACCTGTGCTCAGTTCTGTAACTAGATGGGAGCGGGGGAGCGGGAGTGGGTGTTGACGGTTTCTGGAAGGCTCCATCAAGCAAGCTCCCTGATTGGGTTGTGGGAGATCACCTGGTGGCAGATGGCCAGGGACTATAATCAGGCCATAGGAAAGCCATGCTAATTTTATGATTTCACCATGCTCTTGCTATTAGCATGCTCTTGCTATTTACTAACTTGTTTGCTTTATTTATATCTAGGTTTGCTGACCTCCAAGTAGGGCCTGGCGATCTCCCGGTATTACAACTGATTTCTAGCCAACAGAGACGTGGTCTCCTGGAGAAAAATGGCTGCTTTGCAGGGCGGACTCTGTGGCCTTATATAATGCTGAGGTCCTTCCCCTCCCCTCCCCAAACCCTGCCCTCCCCTGGCTCCAAATCTCCAGGTATTTCCCAACACAGAGCTGGTAGCCAGTTTGGTGTAGTGGTTTGATTCCCCACTCCTTCACATGCAGCTGCTGGATGACCTTGGGCAAGCCATAACTCTGGCAGAGCTGTTCTCTCAAGGGCAGTTCTTGAAAGAGCTCTCTCAGCCCCACCCACCTCACAGGGTGTCCGTTGTGGGGAGGGGAAGGGAAAGGAGTTTGTAAGCGACTCTGAGACTCCCTTCGGTAGTGAAGGGTGGGGTATAGATCCAATCTCTCCTCTCTCCTCTCCTCTAATCGGGGAGAACCGGGTTTGATTCCCCACTCCTCCACTTGCACCTAGCTGGATGACCTTGGATAAGCCATAGTTCTGACAAGAACTGTCCTTGAAAAAGAGCAGTTTCTGTCAAGAGCTCTCTCAGCCCCACCGACCTCACAGGGTGTCTGTTGCGGGGAGGGGAAGGGAAAGGAGTTTGTAAGCCGCTCTGAGACTCCTTCGGGTAGTGAAGGGCGGGGTATAAATCCAATCTCCTCCTCCTCCCATCTTTCTCTGTCCTTGGGAACTAAAGTGGCTCACATTGTCCTCCTTTCCTTTATTTTATCCTCACAACAACTCTGTGAGGCGGGTTAGCCTGCAGGTCTGTGACTGGCCCAAGGTCACCCAGCAAGCATCTGTGGCAGCGTGGAGATTCAAACCCAAATCTCCAGATTCTAGGTCGATACTCGAGCCACCACACCCCGCTGGCTCCGTTTAGTCCTCTGATCTGCCACTTCATTCACTGGGATTGGGAGCTGGAGGACAAGGGAGCAGATGTATGAAGAATTTCTCACAGCTCCTGCTGATCTGCAGGAAGCACTCTTCCTTCACTGCCTCGTGTGCTCACGTATGCATAGCAATCTATCTCGCGTTGCAAATTTTGAACAGTTCTCAGTGTAACATTCGACACTGCGCATTTTCCATACCCCAGAGGCCTGACCGGCCTGATTTACGGGCTTGTAACGGGAACACACGTAACAAACGCTCATGTCACATTTCTCAGAAATATGCTAAAGATTAATGACAAGAGGGCGGTATCACTAGACCGGTGCCTCCCCCCCTTTCTGAGCCTACGGGCACCTTTTGGAATTCCGAACGCCGTGTGGTGGGCACGGCCGCCAGATGGCTGCCCCAAAATGTCTGCTGCAGGGGGTGGGGCCAGCCACAAAATGGCTGCCACAACTTCCCTTCAGTCACTCAGTGAACATCTCTCCTCTGTGAGCCGCTTCCGCCAGAGCAGCTTTTTAAAAAAAATGTGCACAGCCAATCAGACCTCCCCTGGCCAATCAGAAGCCTTGCATGGTAAGGGCCCCACCCACTTTTTAGAAACACTTAGTGGGCTCCAGAAAAAGTGTCGGCAGATGCTGTGTGGTGCCACGTTGGGGACCCCCGGCTCTTGATCCACCACTGCTAGCTGGTGAATGCCACTTCAGCCCCTAAACCACAGCCCCCCACCTGTCATTCCTGTCAAACTCAGGCCTAATTTTCGATTTCTCTTAGTTCTGTTTCTTTCCACCTTCGCTTGTCATTTTGAATTGTGTGTGTTGTTGGAGTGCACGGGAGCAGAGGCCGTAACTTTTCTGAAGAAGCGGCCAGGAGTTGGTTCCTGTGGGACTGACCTTGGAGTAACCGTCTGCCACCCTAGCTTAGATAGGGCACCCTATATCTGTCTGTGTTGCCACAGTAACACCAGGGGTAGGTGTGATGTGGATGAATGTGGAATTTTATGCTTTTACCTATATCTTGTAATTTCCCGCGTATTTCTTCAGCCCTAACAAAAGCTCTTGAACCCACAGCATCATATCTCTAATAAAGCATTACGCTGCCAATAGTGTATGTGTGAAGAGTGAATTAGCGGGGGGCCTGACAATTCCCACCTCCTACTTCTTCTAGCAACCAGGAGGGAGCCACTGAGCCCAAGGCACGAATTAGGGGAGAGATCGTCCTCTTTCAAGCCCTTCAAGAGGAAGGAAACGCACTGGCTAAAATTTCAACCCCACATACTTTCTGTTCTTCTCGTTCTGTTGCGTAGACACATTTTTGCAGTCCGCAGCCTCTCAGGAAGTCACGCAGGTAGCCGAAAAACGTTCCTACTGTGAAGCCGATGAAGGTCAGGATGTTAACGTACATCGGTGCTTGTTCAAAGGATTCATTCAATGGTCGTTTGTAGGAGCTGCCATTTGCTACACCGTTCTCCTGAAAAAAGAAAAGAAAGAAAGCCATGGCTAGAACCCTTGCACACAGATAAAGCGTTACTCGGTGCAAAAGGACGATTCCCTTTCCTTCTATGCACAGGTTTTTTTTTGTTAACACACCCACAAGGTTTACTGTGTCTAACGATACTTTCCCTCTGATTCAGATTCAGGTGGGTAGCCATGTTGTTCTGAACAAAAAAAGTTGGAGTCCAGTGGCACCTTTAAGACGAACGAAGTTTAATTCGGGGTATAAGCTTTCGTGTGCGTGCACATGCCTGTATCTGAAGAAGTGTGCATGCCCACGAAAGCTTATACCCAGAATTAAACTTAGCTGGTCTTAAAGGTGCCACGGGACTCCAACTTTGTTCTATTGTGATAGATTCAGGTGGGTCGCTCAAACGCAGAGTTTGAGTAATCACAGGATGGAAGGACAAGCTAAGCGAGCTGCCGGGCACCACGGAAAAGACCAGCAAGTTCCGAGATAAGAATAGATTAAAATAATCATAGCATCGACTAAACCAGCATGGAAAGCCAAATGCTCAATATTCTATACCATGAAATTGCTGAAATCAGGTTCCACTTACACAGCTGGCAAACTGAAGAAGTCGAAGGAAAATGTATCTTCCAAATATCTAGAATGGGCGTCTTTGCAAAGGCTGTTTGGAATATGTTATAACTATATGGACTCCTCCTATCAAGTTAACAAGTTACACCGAGTACATGGACTTTATGTCTTATCTTCAAAGGAGGAAATATTGTATCCTATGCCTTATTATAGTTCCAGGATGCATAAATGTTGTTGTTGTGACACCACCAACTTTATAATTGTTTAACATATTGTTTTGGCAATCTTTGATGGTGTCTTCTACTAGTTGAATTTGTATATATGGGGCAAATAATAATAAAGGTATCCTTTTTTTTTGTATACTAGATAAATCGTTTTCATTTCGCCGATCGATGACTTCTTATTCCGGATACACGGTTTTATGTCTTGTTCACTAAGACCTACCTTTTTTATGTGAAAAATCCGTAAAATAAATAACAGCATAAAGAGCAGAAGGCTCTGTTACACAAATCAGCGGATAAGTTAAACCCTTGCCAGACCCAGCCGTCTGTGTTTGCGCTTGACGGAAGCGAAACTCTCACGCCACGAGATGGAAACAAACACGATCTCTGACGACACCTTCAAACCAATCTTAGCCATGCACCGTGCCAAAGAAACCGTTCTTCTAACAACGCAGATTGAAGTCGATCAGGGCAGATAGGGACAATTGCAAAAAATTCGACAAAGTCGGGTGTGGCAGTGAAAGAGTTAAGGGCATGACAGCTGCAGGGGACGACGACTCTGTGGTGCCCCCCTTCTCTTGGGGCCATAAGTATGTGCTTATTTTGCTTAGCGGTTAATCCAGGGCAGTGCCCAGACCACCAACTCAACCATCAAACCACAGATTATTAGTCAGTCAGCGAGAGAATGATAAAACAATTGTAAACTTTTCCTGGTATTCTCAGAGGGCTTCCGGGGGGAGATGCTCCACCTGTGAAGGTCACATTTATATGCTTTTCTTACTCCTCCCGACTCCATTCTCTTCTCTCCCATGAAGTTTGATTTCAAAGCTTTCTGATCACTGTAAGTGCCTGGGGAAACCGGAGTTCATTTATTCCTCACCTGACTGGATTAAACAAACTCCAGTTCGCCCAGGTGCCTGCATTTGAACACCCGCAGCTTTATTAAAACCAGGATTTAATCTAGCTCAGTGCGCTGAGCATGAACGAGCTGTGCGCATGCCCAGTCTCAGTTTAACTAGTGCTTATCCAGGCATCTGAATGCAACCTGTGGTCTGGACTCAAAGAACCACGACTGGAAGGACAAACAGCTGCTAGCATTGCTCTGTGGACGCTTGTGCGATATGTAGGTTCTGTAGCTCTCTTTGTGAAACCTTAGTAAAAGTAATAAATATAAGAACATAGAAGGACACCAGAAGCCCTCCCACTGTTGCCCCCCCCCCCAAGCACCAAGAATACACAACATTACTGCCCCAGACAGAAGAACATAAGAGAAGCCAATAGTTGGATTAGGCCAATGACCCATCCAGTCCAACACTCTGTGTCACACAGTGGCCAAACATACCAGGTGCCATCAGGAGGTCCAGCAGTGGGGCCAGGACACCAGAAGCCCTCCCACTGTTGCCCCCCCCCCCAAGCACCAAGAATACACAACATTACTGCCCCAGACAGAAGAACATAAGAGAAGCCAATAGTTGGATTAGGCCAATGACCCATCCAGTCCAACACTCTGTGTCACACAGTGGCCAAACATACCAGGTGCCATCAGGAGGTCCAGCAGTGGGGCCAGGACACCAGAAGCCCTCCCACTGTTGCCCCCCCCCCCAAGCACCAAGAATACACAACATTACTGCCCCAGACAGAAGAACATAAGAGAAGCCAATAGTTGGATTAGGCCAATGACCCATCCAGTCCAACACTCTGTGTCACACAGTGGCCAAACATACCAGGTGCCATCAGGAGGTCCAGCAGTGGGGCCAGGACACCAGAAGCCCTCCCACTGTTGCCCCCCCCCCCAAGCACCAAGAATACACAACATTACTGCCCCAGACAGAAGAACATAAGAGAAGCCAATAGTTGGATTAGGCCAATGACCCATCCAGTCCAACACTCTGTGTCACACAGTGGCCAAACATACCAGGTGCCATCAGGAGGTCCAGCAGTGGGGCCAGGACACCAGAAGCCCTCCCACTCTTGCCCCAAGCACCAAGAAGACAGAGCATCCCTTGCCCCAGACTGAGAGTTCCTGTCTATACATCTTGTGGCTAAGAGCCACAGATGGACCTCTGCTCCAGATGTTTACCCTTATTGAGATTTCATTTCACTTCCCTCTACCAGGAGGTAGAGGACAACCACCCTCTGTTTTACAGTTGTCAGGTCCTGCCTGGATGCCGGCGGGGGAATCCAGGCTCTGCTCCAGGATCTTCTTGCGAGTGCCTCCAGAAGTGACATCATTGCACCGGGGACGTCGGGGGTGATGCTCTAGTTTCTGGGCAAGATTCTATGTTTTTTTCCACCTTCAAACCCATAGCGTTTGCCCCAAAACTAGAGCGCCACCCCCCCCAAACGCAATGACATCCCTTCCAGGTGACATCGTTGCATCTGGGATGTCTCCCGGCAACGTCCCTGCTTTGGGGTGTGACGGATTGGAGCCCCCGAATGCAGGTTTTGGAGCCCCCAAATGCAGGCTTACATGCCCAGGGAAATGCTGATCTCTGCTTCGGGGTCAGGCAGCAATCTTTCTCCAGGCCAGTTTGGCTGAAGATCCTGGAGGAGGGTGTTTTTTTTTTTTGTCATCTTCTGTGCGTAGAACAGGGGTCACTGGGTGTGTGTGTGTGGGAGGTATTTGTGAATCTCCCGGATTGTGCAGGGAATTGAACTAGATGGCCTTGGAGGTCCCTTCCAACTCTAGGATTCAAACCTGTTCCCCACTGAGCTTTGAGATTCCCCTCATTACTGGGGAAAATGGCACCATATCTATCCTCTTTGCAGGTGCCACAGCAGCGCACCAGAGCACTCTCCCATGCCAGATGCAGATAGAAGAAGAAGAAGAAGAGGAGGAGGAGGAGGAGGAGGAGGAGATTGGATTTATACCCCGCCCTTCACTACCCAAGGGAGTCTCGGAGCGGCTTACAAACTCCTTTCCCTTCCCCTCCCCACAACAGACATCCTGGGAGGCAGGTGGGGCTGAGAGAGCTCTTGACAGAAAGAGCTCTTTTCCAAGGACAGCTCTGAGAGAACTTATGACAGAATCAAGGTCATCCAGCAGCTGCAAGTGGAGGAGTGGGGAATCAAACACGGCTCTCCCAGATTAGAGTCCGCGCACTCAACCACTACACCAAATAAGATCGCCTACTCAGCCAGATACTGCCCTTACAATAAAAAATGTGTGGAGTCTATCACCCATGTTCTCCTTTATTGCCACCTGTATACAGATTTACGTCATGTGCATCTACATTCGGTTTTAGTTAGGATGATGGACTGTTCTGATGCGCTTATGGTTTGTAGACTCTTGAATGAGTTCTCCTCTAATGTCACTGGGAAGGTGGCTAAATTGCTTTAATCTGCTATAAAGGTATGGCAGGGGACCTCACAGAAATAATCTTATATTTATACAGATGTCTTTAAGAACATAAGAGAAGCCAGTATTGGATCAGGCCAATGGCCCATCCAGTCCAACACTCTTGTCTGTCACACAGTGGCCAAAAGTACCAGGTGCCATCAGGAGGTCCAGCAGTGGGGCCAGGATGCTAGAAGCCCTCCCACTGTTGCCCCCCCCCCAAGCACCAAGACTACAGAGCATCCCTTGCCCCAGACCGAGAGTTCCTATCTATACCTTGTGGCTAATAATCACTGATGGGACTTCTGCTCCATATGCTTATCTAACTCCCTCTTGAAGCCGTCCATGCTTGTAGCCGCCATCACCTCCTGTGGCAGTGAATTCCATGTGTTAATCCCTCTTTGGGTGAAGAAGGACTTCCTTTTATCCGTTCTAACCTGACTGCTCAGCAATTTCATGGAGTGCCCACGAGTTCTTGTATTGTGAGAAAGGGAGAAAAGTACCTCTTTCTCTACCTGCTCTATCCCATGCATAATCTTATAAACCTCAATCATGTCACCCCTCAGCCATTGTTTCTCCAAACTAAAGCCCCAACCGCTTTAACCTTCCTTCATAGGGAAAGTGTCCCAACCCTTTTATCATTCTAGTTGCCCTTTTCTGCACTTTTCCCAAAGCTATAATATCCTTTTTGAGGTGTGGTGACCAGAAATGTACACAATACTCCAAATGAGGTCGCACCATCGATTTATACAGGGGCATTATGATAACTGGTTGATCTGTTTTCAGTCCCCTTCAGATTGAGTTCCTTCTCTCACCCAGTTTACCCCTGCGTCTCCAGCGGAGCACACGTCCCACTGCAGGTGTGGGGTTTGCCACTA